AATCAATCATTCAACCAATCAATCAATCAACAAACCAATCAATCATTCAACCAATCAATCAATCAACAAACCAATCAATCATTCAACCAATCAATCAATCAACAAACCAATCAATCATTCAACCAATCAATCAATCAACAAACCAATCAATCATTCAACCAATCAATCAATCAACAAACCAATCAATCATTCAACCAATCAATCAATCAACAAACCAATCAATCATTCAACTAATCAATAACCAACAAACCAATCAATCAATCATCTAATCAATCAATCAACAAACCAATCGATCAATCAAGAAACCAATCAATCAATCAAGAAACCAATCCATCAATCAACAACCCAATCAATCTATGAATCAAAAAAAAAAATCATCAATTCATTGAAGCAACCAGTAAGTCATCCAACCAACATAACAATCAGCCACTCAGCCAACCAACCTTCGTTTTTCAATCAGCCTGAACTTCAAATCTGCAATCTTCGATTCACTTTTAGTCATAACAACCTCATCACAATCACCACGGCCGATATCATTGTGATCATCTCCTGTTATTGATCTACTCACTTCATCATTACCCGCTTTATGATCAGCCGACCATTGTGATGAGAACGATGACGATGTTGTTGTTGGCGGTTGTCGTTGTGGTGGCTGTTGTGGCGTTGTTGTTGTTGCTTTTGCTGGTGGTTGTGGTAGCGGTGGTTGTAGGTCCCTACCAGCTAAACTAATTTGTTTCCATGATGTTGTTTTTGTTGTTAACGTTACTGATGTTGTTTGTTGTTGCTGTTGTTGTCGCTTTAGACCTGAGAATGTTTCAAATTGTTGAGTTGGCTGTTGTTGTTGTCGTAAATGTTGCTGTGATGTTGTTGTATTTTTTGTTGAAGCCTCAAAAACTGTTGCAACAGAGTTTTGTTTCTTTTTCAATTTAAACTTTTTATTAAAAATAACAATATTAGCAGTGGTAGTAGTGGCTGGAATGGTAGTATCAGTAGTAGCGATAGAAGTAATGGCTGTAGATAATGCGGTAGTAGAAGCGACAGTACCGACTACAGTAGCAGTGTTTGTAGTTGCAGTAGTAGAAGTAGCAGCGGTTTTACTTTTACTTCTACCAACAATAGTCTGGTTTCCAGTAAAATTCTGAGACTCGCTAAAACAAATATAGGAATTAGGTTTAGTAATATTTGTGTAAGCAGTAGTGGCAATAGTAGTATTAGTAGTAGAAGTGGTAGTGGTTTCATCATTAGGTTTTGTAACGCATGCATAATTCATTTTGGTGGTTGTTGTTAATAATTGTTGTTCATCTTGCTGGTACTGTTGATTAGTTTGATTTTGTTGTAGCTGGTGATACTGCTGTTGTTGTTGCTGCTGCTGTTGTTGTTGCTGCTGGTAATGTTGTTGTTGCTGCTCTGGATTTTGTTGCTGTGGGTTAAATCTAGCAACTTTTTTACTATCGTAAAACCTAACTGTTGATGTAGTTGTCGGCAAAGTTTTTGTTGTTGGTTGTGGTGTTGTTATTGCCTTTAACAATGTTGTCGTTGTTGTAGTTAATTTTGGCGATGTTGGTGCTACCAATGAAGTTGTTGTTGTTGGTCCTGGTGATGTTGTGATCAGCATCGTTGATGTCGCTGATGGTGGTAAAAGTGGCTTAGGCTTTGTTGGTGATAGCATGCTGATGCAACGAACTGGTAAATCGCTAGTAGGTATTTGAGGCCATACTGTGGTGAAGGAATGTTTCCTTTTTGTGGTCGTTGTGGCTGTTGTATATGTTGTGGCTGATAATGATTCCATGGTTGTTGTTTTTAAAGTTGTGGTTGTTGTGGCTGTTGTTGTGGCTGTTGTTGACGGCAACGATTTGGTTTTTTTTGTTGTTGACGTTGTTGTGGTTGTTGTAGCAGAAGCAACAGATACAGTGTTGCCTAACTTTAAATGTTCTAACAAATGCTCCGTTGTATTACCTCTTAGTTTGGACCAACGTGTCAAATTAAACTGTCGTAGTTGTTGTGGCTGTCGCTGCGGTTGTTGCTGCTGTTGTTGTTGCTGCTGCTGTTGAAGCTGCTTCTGCGGACGGTGTGGCTGATGTTGCTTTTCTTCATTATTATACGCATTATCATTATTATTACTATTATTATTGTTGGTATTATTTTTACTACCAGTAGCGTTGGGATGGCTAAGCGGTTTTTCATTCATTCCTTTCAAAACTTCATCGTCATCATCATCATCATCGTCCTTATCACCATCATCACCATCATCGTCCTTATCATTATCATCATCAGCATCTTCATTGTAGCAAGTGGTGTACTCTTCAACATTAACACCACAAGGCCCTTTATCAATAGCGCCATCTTTATCATCATCATCATCATCACCATCATCATCATCACCAACATTAGCATTATTGCAATGTTTGTAAGCCCCACCATTATTATTATTAACAATATCATGATCATTGTTAATATAATAAATGTCATCGTCATCCCCATTATCATCATCATCACCACCGCCATTGTTCATATCATTATCATCATCATCACCACCATCGTCGTCACCATCCTCATTATCATCGTCACCATCATCACCATCATTATTATAATTATTATTGTATGTTTTATTTTTATGTACAGTATCATTATCATTACCGACACCATCATTATCATAGATGTTATCATCGATATAACCATCATCATTATCATCATCATCATCATTATCATCACAATCATAGCTGACAAAAATTCTCTGATAATGGTTAGATCTGTGTGATGGTTTAGTCCTGTGATGATGTAGACGAGGATGACACTGATGATGATGGGTTTGATAATGATGCCACTTTATGTGAGAGTGATCATCATCATCATCAAACTCATATCCATCATCAGTATCTCTCTCCTCGCCATCATTATCATCATCTCTATCACTATCGTCATCATCACCATCATCTTCATTTCTCCAAACATTACAACAAAATTTTGCAGCAGTAATGTTTCTATTGTTTGTGACATCGTTTCTAAGGGTATTTGTAGTATTCTTAGAAAGGAATGTAGTTTTAGTATTATTAACTGTTGCAGTGGTAGAAGTATTTAGTTGTTTGTTGTTGTTTGTGTTGTTGCTGTTGTCAGTGGTGTTGTGCTGTTGACAAAGATTATTATTATTACCATCCAAATAGTTAGTGTTAAATGTGTTCTTGAATATTGATGAAGTTATGTGTTTTGATTTGTTGTTGTTGTAGTTGATGTAAGGAACGCTATTGTCGTTATTGTTGTTGTGGTGGTTTTTGTTCTTCTTACTTGATTTGTTCCACGGCTTGTTTTTCGCACTGGTTTTCAACAGATGGTTTTCATTTGTCATTATTAAACTGCTGTCTGGTTTGCTGTTGTTGTTGCTGTCTAGATATTTGTTGTTGTTGTAATTGTTGTTGTTAATGTTGTAATACTTGCTAATGTTGTTGTTGTCACCGCAAGATTGATACCTTCTGTCACCAATGTCGTCGTCATGAACGTAGTTAACATTGCGAAAATCCATTTTTGATTTTAAATTTAAATAAAAATTTAGTAGAGGCTTAACAGAATTTGAATTTTATGTTAAAAATTTTCAATTAATTAATTTTATATTATTTAAAACTATGAAAATATTGTTTCATTATCACTTGGAAATTGACAGTTCGAAGTGATTTTTCAAATTAAAATTAAAATAAAAACAAATTTTGTGACCGTCTTCGTAGCGAAAAAACGGTTTTTCTGAACGATAGTTACAATGGCGATGCATGAAATTATTAGCCGTATAATTTTAATGTATGATAGGAATTGAGCTATAGCGAAGCTAATAATGGCAAAAATATGAAAAAATATATATATCATTAAAAATTACATATAATACTACATCGTAAATTATAATAGATTGTTTATATTATAAAAAGGTCTTCTTCTTTTCCGTGCCTTATCCTTTCAGGCGACCACCGATATTTTTTTTTTGAATATTTTAACGGCACTGCCCCAGATGGTGCTATAATGTGCCAGTAATTTTAATATTTTTTTCTTAATTTTTATTTATTTATTTTCATAATTATGTAACCACCGATATTTAAGTAGTTGAAATATGGTGATATTCAACAAGTGGCACAAGAACTTTACGAATGTTATTCGTTGCTTTATCTAAAGTATCAACTAATCAAATAGCTTGAGATAGTTGAGGTTTTCTGTAACGCAGAACCAAACGCCTGTAACCATTTTGTCATCTGGCCTCTATATTTTTCAAAATTTATTGTGTATCTTTTTATGTAGCAAGATGATTAATTTGTGTATGATTTGTGGTTGGATAGAAATAAATGCTATAATTATTTTGATGTTGAAGACGTGGTACTGTTATAATGATAATAAAAATAATAAAATGATAATTAAAAACTGAACTATAATTGAAATGATAATTATAATAGTAATTAAATAGCGCGAAAAACGGCAATGGTAACATTGTTGATGACGACGATGATGAATGTGAACAAACAAACAGACATTCATACATTCATGTGAACTTATTCATAACATGATGTTTCAAAGGCGACTCAACTGGATAAACAAATCATCGTCGTCGTCATCTTCATCCTCCTTCTCATCATTTTCATCATCCTCATCTTCATCCTCCTTCTCATCATCTTCATCATCATCGTCATCATCACCACGTCATTTTCATCATCGTCATCATCATGTCCTCGTCATCATTCTTATTATAATTTCAAAAATATTTGCAGATCAATTTGCCAAATGACTCTTTCAAGAACTTTCTATAAATAAATTGGCATATAAATATCAATAAATGAGCTAAATTTGACTGCTATATAAAATTATAAGCAGAAGTAATAAAAAAAAACTGTTTATTTACTCATTGTTATTGCTATTGTTATCATTTATTTGTCACTTTTTCTATCAAGATGAATTTGTAATGTGACCAAAGATTGTAAAAGCAAGTAAATTATTTTTCTGTGTGATCTGTATATAACTAGTTTGTCACAACATTTCAACATTTGTTTTTCTCTCTCTAAATAAATAAATAATAAAATATAATATATATATATATATATATATATATATATATATATATATATATATATATTTCTCTTCATATTTATCTCTCTTTCTCTTTCTCTATCTCTTTCTCTCAAATTACACACATCATAATTTCATAAATCATGATTAGAGGATTATGGATGACAAAATGGACATGAAAAACATTTAAAAAGTTGAAATATTTTTCGTGAAACCAGCCAATTAAATCCACTATTTTATTAAATGAGTTTAATTCAAGATGGTAAATCTAATTTGGAAATGTCGGGAATTCTAAATGAAAATATTTTCCTCTAGAGACAATAAATATTTGTACAAGGAAACACCTACGTGTAATTATGTTGATGGTTCTATAAAATATAAGCCGGATGTTTGCTGCTCTGGTATATGTAGTTGGAAACAACTTCAAATTGTCACACCGCACACGCACACACATAAACGCACACACAAACACAAATATACACACCCAAAAAATATCTTCAATGTCATATTTATTTTTCATATTTGTCATTGGTAGAGATTAAGATCTGTCACACACGCACGCACACACACGCACACACACACATACACACATATATAAATATATATATGTATATTCACACACGCACACATATACACACTCACACACACACATATATATATAGCGTTAACTTTCATTTGTCAGATATTTGAAAAAATTTCTTTTGTTACGAACGCAACTAGCGGACGAAAATTAATACAACTTTAACAAATTAAATTGCATCTCTTGATTTGCAAGTAAGTAGTAATTAATAATTTGTAAACTTTTCGATGCTAATGATAACATTTTTAAATAAAACTTTGAAACCCCTTCTCTGTTATTAAATTAATTGTAAAACATTTTGCAAGAAATGAATTCTTCATCATTCTAATCAACATCATCATTTTCTCTATCATCACCACCACCATCATTATTAATATCAACGTCTTTAAATATTTCTCCGCAGAGAGAAAAATCAACATCATAATTTTTTTATCATCATCACCACCATCATTACCATTACTACCATCATCACCACCACAACCATCATCATTATCGATATCAACATCCTTAAATATCACCATTACTAACATCACCACCACCACCATCATTATCAAGATCAACATCTTCAAATTGTCAACATCTTTAAAATTTTTTCCGCAGAGGGAAATGATGCTGGCGTCATCAACACCCTCCCCATTTCCATCTCCATCAGGGAGGAGGTACCTCGGCTTCCTCGTCGTGGCATCAGCCCTACTGATGACCAGCCTCCAGGAAAACATCACCTGCTACAAATGTGACTGGGGCAAGTGCGAGGGCTCGACCGAGACCTGCACCGCCAAGGCCGCCTGCTATTACGCTGAGTCTGGCATTGGTCAGCTGCTATTTTTTTTCCTATCTAGTGTCAATAATAATCATAATAATGATGATAATAATAATAGTAATAATAATAATAATCAATCAATCAATCAATTAATCAACCAGCCAACCAACCGACCAGTCAATTAATCAATTAACCAATCAATCAACCAACCAACTGATTAATCAATCAATCAGTCAACCAACCAACCAACTAATCAATCAACCATCCAACTTATCAACCAACCAATCAACCAACCAACTTACTAATCAACTCCAACCAACCAACCCTCCAACCAACCAACCAATCAACCAACTAACCAACCAACTAGGCCCGTCAAAAGGATGTTTCGACTGGGTCGGCAGACATAACCTCCACTGTCAATACACTGACTATCGCCTAGGGTACAAAAGCTGCCTCTGCCGCAGAGACCTCTGCAACTTCGCAAAGCCTCAAAACGACATCGTTTTTAATGAAGGTGCTAAACCCTACTGGATCTAAAAGTGGCAACATTTGTATTTCTGCTGCTGCTGTACTTCTACTTCTACTACTATTCTCACAACTACTACTGTAAATATTACTACTATTCCATCTTATTGATTTCCAAAACTGCTACTACTGCCGCTACTGCTGCCACTACTGTTACTGCTACTACGACAACTACTACTACAACAACTACTACTACAACAACTACTACTACAACAACTACTACTACAACAACTACTACTACAACAACTACTACTACAACAACTACTACTACAACAACAACTACTACTACTACCTTTTCTAATTTTACTGACACTAATGCTGACTATGAATCTGACTACTGCTGCTGCTACTTCTACTACTACCACTGTTGCTTTTTTTGCAATTACTGTTGCTGCTACTACTGCTACTGTCGTCAATACTATCGACTACTACTTTTGCTGAAGCTACTACTAGCACTACTGTCACTATAACAGCCGCCCGCCGCTACAACTACCACTTCCTTTTTAATTACTGTTACTTTTTATTGATGACACTACTATGGCTAATGTTATTTAAAATGATACCCTGTAATGGAACACTGTTGAACTTGTTATGTATAATAATGCGCAAGAAGACCAATGAACAATGTTCATTTGACAGTATTCATAAAAATTTTGTAATAACGATTTTTATGTTAATGAGTGTGTGTCTTCTTAATTTACATTTAATATTTCAAAAAAAGACATACTTATCCACCATTTTGTATTATTACTTACATTGATTTGTGAGAAATTGTTTCAAATGAACGTTTAAAAATGTACTTTATTATTCTTTTATACCATCAAAACTTTAACTAACTAATAAACTGTCAATTATATAGTCACAGGACTTACAAATTAAACAACCGAGGCCTAATTTATGAGGGGCGGGAAAAACAAGTGGGCTATTAACCCGCGGCTTCGGCATGAAGGAAAACGTAATTTATCTTTTCAAAATTTATATTTCAGCAACTCAGCAACAATACGTGTTATAAAAACTAATTATATCTTCTTTCTTTTTTCTTTCTCGTGCCTTATCTTATCAGGACATTGGCGACCATCGACCTCCACAAAACCCGATCTTTAGCACTTTGTAAGAATTGAAATATAGTGATATTCAACAAGTGACACGAGGACTTCACGAATGTTGTTCGTTGTTGACCGCGACCTCTTTTCCCTGCAATCTTTCCAGTAGTTGTTAGATTTTCCATTCTTTCCTTTCGCATGATTTGACCGAAAAACTTTAACTGCCCCCGTCGGATTATCTGTAGTAGTTTCCTCTTTTCATATCCGGACTGTTTTAATACATCCTCATTCGGGAAGATTCGGCTTGAAATGTGAATGTTAAAAGTATTTTTAAAATATAAACTAAGAAATGAAGTTCGATATTTTTCTAAATGAATGAATAATGATAATAATAATAAGAATAATAATAATAATAAGGAAATGTTTGCTCTGTTGCCTAATTGTCTTATTTGAAATATCATAACAATTGAAGTACGCAAGTACGCAGAGATTAAATATATCATAAATTTCTGATATCTGTCCATGTGTATATGTATGCGTGCGTGTGTGTATGTGTGTGTTTCTGTGTGTGCTTTTTATGTGCTTGTGTAGATACGTGGGAGTGTTTGCACCTATGTAAGTGTGTGTTAGGGTGTGTGCATTTGAGAGTTCGTGGTATGTGCGTGTATTTCGTTGTGGTTATTTGTGTTTGTATGTGTGAGTGTATGTTTGTTTGTATGTCATTGTATGTGTAAGTGCGGGTGAGTGTATGTTTGTTTGTATGTCATTGTATTTATTTTTCAATATGTCCACATATTGATCGTTCTCAGAGAAACATCATAAAAGAAAAAATGATCATGCAGATACAAATAAATGCGCATCATTGTTGTCGTAATTGTTGTTGCTATTGATATTATTATTGTTGTTACTATTGTTATTATTATTATTATTGTTGTTGTTGTTGTTATTATTGTCATTTTTAATCTTGAGGATGTTATTCCTATTGTAATATTTGCTCATGTGGTTAATCACATCTCAACACGCAATGTTATAGCAACTAATGTACGTACGTACATACATTGAATGTATTAATTTGTATATTGTATATATAATTGTATATTGTATATGTAATTTGTATATTAAAAACTTATTATTACATACTGTCAAAAAATACTGAGCCACAAGGTGCAAACATTTTAGACTGAATGTTTCATCAATTAGAAGAATGCCCAAAATTGCTCTGTGTCCTTTAGTTTTGGTTACTTTCATTAGTGAGTTTAATTATTTTAGTAAAATTGTAATTTATAATTTTTTAATATTAAATTTCATCATTTCAGTTACACTTCCTATAAATTTTTTGAATGCTTTTTCAAAAAATTTGGCTCTCAACCAGCCAGCAGCAAGTAGTTCGCTTCATGGTGCGTTCCAGTCATTAGGCGCAAAATTATTGGTTGATGGCGATGCCAACCCTGATTATCTTCAAGGGCATTGCATGCACGGAGTTGATGGTTCGGGGGGTCCTAACTGGGCAGTTGTCGACCTTGCTGACAAATATGGTGTAGATTTTGTAGTTCTTTATTCAAGAGATTGTATTCGTAAGTTGAGTGTTTGTTGAAATGTTTCGTCACTATATTTTTCTTATTTTGTTTTAATTTAGTTGTTTAATGCCTACATGAAATTAAAAATAAATTGAAATTAATTTGGCAGTTGTTCAACTAAACTATAAAATTAAAGCAACTTTTCAGCTGACAGATTGGATTATTTCATGATCGGCCTGACTTCGGTGGATTACTTTGCACCGGGATCGAACGTCGTCCGCGGAACCTACCCTCTCTGCGGCCAGTACAAGTACCAGGCGGTCGTCAGCAGCAAGCACACGTTGAAATGCAATGCCAATCTCCTCCCGTATCGTTTCGTTATCGTCCAACAACCAATCACTGGACCCGGAAGTCTGACCGTCTGTGAATTGGAAGTCTACAAGGCAGACAATTCAAATTGTTAGTTTGGAAGTTTGATACAATAAATTTGAAATTCTGAATAAATTTATTTAAATTGTTGTAGCAAAGAAATGGAATCGTTACGTGAACTACAAGTTGACCGGCTACACCTCCCATGTGATGGTCGTCAGCCACAAGTTGAAATGTTTCTTCAACTGCATGCCAGGCCTGTGCAATTCAGTCAACTTCAAAGAAGATGGATCAGTTTGCGAGTTGAACCAACATCTGTTCGGCTACAATCAAAATAATCTGATGGTCAGTGCCGACTGGAGTTTCTACGAGGTTCATTACGCTTAGTTAGCAAGGGTGTAAGACTTCGAGCAACATTTGCATAAATATTATGATGAAACAACTTTTAAGAGTTTTAACAAGGAATGTATGGTGATGTTGATAAAATCTTCAACTTATTTCGTATAATTCGGACACAGCTGTTTTATTAATCAATGTGTATCTTAACACCAAAATACAAAATTAGCAAATTGCTAAATGAATGAATTTTGTCATTAATTTCTTAGTTTTATATTTCTAAAGTCTAGTATAACATTGAAACAGTCTATTCCAGTAAATGTCGTTTTTCTTCTCTATCATACACACATTCATTGCACTGTTTAGCAGTTTCTCATGTTTAGCACTTTTCCATATTTACAAGTTTCCATACAAATATTTTCGTTTAGTTACCAAATAAAATAAAAAGCATGTTTTGTGGTAGAGAATTTGTTCATTTGAATGGCTGCAACAAAGTTCGATCTTAACGAACAAAACGGAAGTATGCACATTTTCTTTTTCCATTTTTCTACTCTCTCTTAAATTTTTTAATTTTTTCTCGATATTCTTTATATATTAGATTTTTCATTGGCTGAAATTTATTTCTTTGCATGTAACTGGTAACAACGCTGTTATTTATAAAGCTTATGGAAGGCGGCTGAAAGGCCAACACAAAAAAAGCATTATTTGATTGAACGTTGAGAAAATGTCGTTGGAGTAGAATGTTTCTAAAGATGAGTTGAAGGAAGGATTGAAGCAAGTAGTTTCTGATCTTTGGAAATGGAAAGCGTGATGCAAACATGCGAAACAACCTGTCAAAAAGAAGGCAATGTTGTATGTAACAGTGTTTGTAGAAGTTCTTACTTGCATCTACGTAGAATAAAAAAACTTTTGCCATTTCTTGACAATCCTACTCTTCTTTTTCTTGTTACATCTTTAGTTTTATTTTGGATTGATTATTGTAACTCGCTCTACTCTAGTTTTCCTGATTTTACACTTTAGCCTTTAAGTAAAGCTTTTGACTCTGCTGCTCGTCTAGTTGCTCGAGTCCCTTTCTTTTCTCATATATCTCCATATCTTGTTTTCTAGCACTGACTACCTAGAAATTATAGAATAATTTTTAAAATTTGCACGTTAATGTATAATCTAATTTACTTTCTAAGAACTTATCAGATATATTAATTGAACCAAAACGCTCCGGTTTACGATCGTCTTCTTGTTCTCGCTTCTTTTTAACTCGTGTTAAACAATCTTTTGCTAAATTTGCATTTGCTTTATCTGGCCCTTTTTTCAGGAACTGTCTACTTCCTTTTCTGACTTCTTCCCATCACTTACGAAGTTCTGAGCGGATCTCAAGACCCATCTGTTTACAAAATTCATTGAGGAGCGCTGTTGAACACCGCGGAAATAGCGCTTTATAAACTAATTGATTGATTGATTGTTCCAACGCTTTTACACAAATTTGATTTTAATTTTTAAACCCTATTCGTCATAATGATCATATAGTTGTCTGTTAGCAATTTAAAATGAACTTTAGCAAAGAACTTTAGTTCCCATTTAGTTGTCTGTTAGCCAGCGCTTCTGCACTCAAAATATTTTCCACGGTGTTCAACAGCTAGGCGATGGCATGCCTTACACGTGTGGCTGAAAGTTTTGTGACAATTTGTGAAAGGAGGAAGGGTTTGTCAAAAATTTGCCAATAAAACGTGACGTCCTTTCTGGCCAGCCCTTAAATTACTAAATACTCTTAGTATCAGTAACAATATACGTTTTTTTTTCAAATTGTTCACCCAAAAGCGTTCTCAACAAATCAATTTCTGACGAGAAAAGGTTTTATTAATTTAATCAGCAGTGGAATACTACTTGCAGTTTGAAAACTTGTTAGTGGAAAAATTGTGCTTGTGTGAGGAAATGATTATAAAATTTTATTTTCGAGGTTGAGGTGTGGAAAAACAACTTTAATGGGACAATTTTTGATTTTGGCTTCTCACATTGCATTGATCGCGTGTTCTTAGTTGAAAAGTTGCTTTAATTTTATAGTTTAGTTGAACTTATTTAGTTATATTTGTATCACCAAATAATATCAGATTATTTTTCAATTTTAAAAACAAAGTAAAATAAAAGGTTAGAATTAATATGGAATTAGTATATTAAATCTTCAGTTTAATTTTTTTTAATTTTAAAAAGCTTGACCCGAAGAACAAGTTAAATTTAACGCTGAAAAAATGATCTCATTTCTGTTAATTCGCCTTCCAACATGAATGAATACATAATTTTTTTATGAAAATAAATGATTAAATCAAAAATAATCAGTCACTACTGCTAACATATATCATTATTATTATTATTATCATTATTATTATTATTATTTATTATTATTATTATTATTAACATTACCATTCCTGAAACATTCCTTTAAGCAATAATTCTCAAATTTTAAAATCAACTTTTAATCAAAACTTCGAAAAGTTCCACTTAAAGTAGGTAAAAGATGTTGACTTGGAAGCTTCACATGTGCCACCAGGAACTCACGAGAAAACTCAGCACGAACACGTGCCAGCAAGTCTGCACTCTCGGAGCTGAGTTTTCACCTGAATTTGTTTCAAAATATTTTCAATGAAATGTTGAAATAGGCATCAGTGCATGAAATAGACAGTAAACTTATCATAAAAATATGCATTATTATGAAAATACTTCCTTGCCTATTTACTTAGCTGCCATTAAAATTTTACATCACAACAACCCAAAAAATATACAGTGAAAAAAATGAAGAAGACATAATAATTTTTAAAATAAAAACCTTACCAATATGTTATTTAAAAATAAAAACCAAATCCACCTTCCTTTCCACAGGTCGCACCGGTGAATCCTTTGACACAATTACATTTGTATGAAGTTCCATCCAGAGCACACATCCCATCGTTCAGACATGGTCTGCTACTGCATGCGTCTACAATTACGTTATTTTTAAGTTCTTTTTACTAGTTAATAAATTTTCAATATGAGATTGCTTTCATAAAACGAACCATTGCATGTATTTTCAACTATTTTACATTGCACAGGTCGCCGAGTTAGCTCAGTCGGTAGAAGTGCCATGTCTCGTGCAGTTACGCGATGACCTGGTTCGAATAATGTCTGTCCGAAACTCAAGGACTATCATACGCCATGCTCATATGATGCGGTGCTTGCGCGTGCGCACATGACGTAAGGACATGTGTGCACATCACTTAATGGGATAGTGTACAGCCTCTTTTGGCACGAAGGTTTAACCACAGGGATGATATGTAAGTAAGCGGTTCTGCGTATGTCAGAGCTGCATGATAAAGAACAAAAAACGAAAAAAAAGTGCCGTTGTTTAAAAACCGTTTCTATCCTACTCAGTTACTATTATAATTTTTCTCCAATCTCCATTCGAAACACACAACATGCCGTAAATTCATATTATTGTACAACGTACATACACAAGCGCTGTAAAACATTCGTATGATGATTATGAAATTTTGGGCAGACTGTATTCAACCCGATCAGTGTAAAATGTTATGTGGCACTTTTAATGTCTGAGCTACTTTAAAAATGGCATATAAGAGAAAAACTTCACTGCGAAATGCGAATCAAACAATTCAAAGAGGTATGATGAAATAGAAAATTGTCTAAATAAATGACCGATCAAAATATGGATTTGTAAAGACCGCGTTACCTAATTATATTTTCACCTTCAATTTTGCAAGTTTTTCCAGAAAAGCCTTCCTGGCACTCACATCTGTAACCATCCTTCAGGTCGATGCACTTTCCTTTGTTACGGCACAAGCCTTGAAAACAATAATCTGTGAAGAAATAATTTCAACATGAAGAGTGTCCTGTATATTATTCAAGACTCAATCAAAGAGTAATCATTTTCTTAGTAACTTATATGGCATCATTTCCACAATATTAGCAGGTATCTTCAAGCATCTGACAGTCACCTCAAATGCATATGAAGTTAGGCATGTGTTGGCCTCACTTAGCGTTCGAACACAATCGCCGTTAAAGAATTTTAGAGTCGTCATGCCACAATGTCATGAATATTTCAAAGTTTAAAAAAAAATATTAATATCTGGTCTGCACTTTGCTCCCATGTAATCCCCACTGCATTCGTAATCGTCTCCATTCAGGGCGCACGTTCTTGAATTCGTTTCTGATTCGACATGAAGTAATTGGATTTTAAAAATCATTTTGCTTTTAAATTGAAATCTAAAATCATTTAAATCATAATCTTGTTTACCCATTTTCAAATGAAACTTAAAATAAAGTCAATTCGTAATATTATACCTACAACACATGTAAATAAATTGTTATATGTTAATAAGGCTCTGCTCTTGTCAAAATTCTACATAAAAAAATTCTATAGCATAATAATACTTTCTTGACATTCGAAGGCTCCCTGAAATTTGTTGACAGTATTTATTTGGACACTTGTTTGCTTTTGTATCGCAAGGGTTGGAGGCTGGTAAAAATTTATAAAACGGTATGTGTGGTGCCTGTGTGTGTGTGTGTGTGTGTGTGTGTGTGGTGTGTGCGCGCGTTAAAATGTTGAAAACATATTTTTACCTGGTACACTGTTAATCAGCAACTCAAGAGTAGCTGTCTCATTGAGATCAAATGATTTGAAACTGCAAGGGACCATGTCAACGGTTTTTATTTTTGGAAATTCTTCAACTTTTACTCCATAGCTTTGGATATATGTATTTTTGTTGAAGAAAGCGGCAGATGGGAATAATCCTTGTTTGTCCGAAGTGAAGAACCGCCCTAAGGAGCCAAACGTCATCTGGAAACATATCA